TTCAAAAAAATTTAAACGCAATATCATTATCTTCTCTGTTCTTGAAACATCGTTTTGTCCTTTCTTTTCTCAGTAAGGTTTTGTCGGTTTCTTTCACACTAAGTGACTCGTTGCGTCTTAATGGCTTTATCGCCTTGCTTGAGATGAAATGATTAAATAATAAAAAAAAAACGTTGATAGAGCTTCTAAAGAAAAAAAATATTTCTCGTGTTTGTTACGGTTGGAAAGACGTTTGACGAAAGTGAATCGACGTCAATGATGCTTCTGTAGTTGAATAATTTTCATTTGATGGTTGCGGTTGGAAGGACTTTCTACAGAACCGAATAGACGTAGATTCTGTCAAATAAAAAAAAAATTCTTGTTTGTTCCTGTTGAAAAGATTTCTATAGAAATATATAGACGACGATGGAACTTCTGTAGAAACCAAATTTCTTATTTATTTTTTTTCATCGGGTAGTTTTAGTTTTATTTTCTTGACAATTCTTTTGACATACCTTTCCTATACATTTATTCATCGACTTAGTTTAAAGTCAGGCCTGTAAGTGAATTATTATAATTATCGGTAACGGTAGTTTATAACTCTCTCGACTATATTTCTCTGGCAGTTGAGTTGACCAAGCAAGCTGGTCTCGCTAGATCAATTACGACTGAATAGTGAATTCGGTCCTCACTGGGTGCCTCATACTTTTGGCCTTGTGTCACACTTAAGCTACGCTTAGAAAATCACCATATGTAGTTAAGTTGAAACTGGGTTTGTGCAACGGGCGGCCATTTCCATCTATCTGTTTATAAGGATACGCGAGTAGTGTAACGGATATCGGCACAGAAATGGAAATCGGAGAGCCGGGTTCAAATTCCGGGTTAGTCTGGGATGTTCATTTTTACGTAAGTGACCTTGGTAAAGGTATAGATCTATACCTTCTCCCCTCGCACCAGCCCAGGGTTTAATAGTAGGGTAGAGTGAGCTTTCTAGCTTTAGGGGACAACTTTTGAAAAGTTTAAATTCCGAACCGTAGAAAAAGCAATGAGAAACCAGTCCATTTTCTTTTCCAAGATGATTCATGATTCATATATATATATATATATATATATATATATATATATATATATATATATATATATATATATATATATATATATATATATATATATATATATATATATATATATATATATATATATATATGTCATACATAGAATTCTCACTGAAATTTTGAACTTTACCGTTGTTGCGACTTGCACGTTCCGAGATTGTACAACCGTCAATAAATAGCACATTCTTAAAGAAACATCTTTCGGTCTACAAACAATTATTTCGTCTTCAAGTTTTAACTTCAAAGGAAAAAAAATTACAGCCTGAGGATGGAGACATGGATCTTCGAAAGTACTTGCTTAACTTAAAAAATATACACTAGAAACACCTGACAAGTTTTATAAATGAGGATCACACCATTCAATGGATTAACAGTATTTTAATGCATACATTATGTTTCTACTAGCGAAGTGATTTCGTCATTAATCGCATTAATATTGCTGATTGATTCTATGTATGATTATTTCTTTATATATAAAATATATGCTGCCTAATATATATATATATATATATATATATATATATATATATATATATATATATATATATATATATGAAGTGACTAGTCTGTTTCATAAAATAGATTATCGTTGTTGCTGGGTGTTGACCTCAGTGTTCACTTTTATATTTAGACACGCTCTATCCCTGATATTGTTTTATAATATAGCTTTGTGTAACGTCCTTTAAGGCTTCATCGATCTAAGTAATGTTTCCGTTGACGCATGCGCATGAAGGAGAGGGAACGCTGAAATTTTTCAATTTATTTATTTATTATTTTTTTTTAGCTGTTTGGGTATGTTGTCTAATCAAGTTCATTTAGTATAATTCTGTTTTTGTTAATGATTTCATCAGTTTTGTTACTAAGTCACATTGCGATAATAGAAGGTCTCTGAAGAAAAGTGAAATGTTATAAGAACCTGGACGCAAATGTACTGTATACGATCTAGCGATTAAAGTACTTTCTATAAATGTTCGTCTCCGTATATTATTACAGGTGAAAAGAACACTTGAGGTAATAGAAAGACGGATGATGAGAATACCATAGACTGAATATATAAGCAGTAAGGAAGTTTAGTAAAAAATGGAAACTGAAACGGCCCATACTTAATAACATATTCCATTAGTAAGAAAGAAGTTACATTTTGAACAGTTTTTTCCTACTTTGTGAAACAGCCTCCCGAGTGGATGCTTCCACTGTCGCTAGATTCTTAAGCACTCCAGATCTAGGGCCAACCGTTACATAACCTCATAATTCGCGCTTCTTACCTATTATTATATAATAATAATTTCATTCAGTAACCCTTTAACTTTACTTACTCTTGTGCCTTATATTAACAATTAATAAAAAAATACGCACAGGCACAAAAAACAGTTATTTTTGCTGTGAAATATAAGAATTTTATTAGGTGAGTAGACAGTATCCTTTTCATGGTTATAGGTGGAGGTCGCTGATCAAAACAAAACAAAAGAACTATCAGTAATAATAAAGAAATAAATGAAATGGATATATTTACTTGATTAGAGTTGTTGTCTCATTTAAAATCGCCTGAAATGCCATTAGTAATCGGAAAGTCTCTTAAAATTTGTATAAAAAGAATATTTGAAAGGAGATTTTGTAGAAAATACCCTTACCTAAATTACATCCGCTTGTTTGAAAATAAGAGAGTAACTTGAAAAAAAAAAAACGAATATATAAAAGTTTTAAACATTTCTTAAAAGTATTTTTGCATATTTTTTATCCGAATTCCCGACCCCAGAATGCACGTATAAAAAGAATTCCTCTAGAGATGAATAAATGTATGAAAAGGGAAGAGAACATATTATGTGAAGACGTGTTTTATATATATATATATATATATATATATATATATATGAGAGAGAGAGAGAGAGAGTTACTATGCGTCGCTGAGATGTGACACAAGCAACAAATATAGGGCACGCAGTGAGAATCGAATAGTAGGAATGGAAAAATAGACAAGTAGAAGAAAAGAGTGGCAGAGGAAGAGAAAGATAACGCTAGAGAAGTGTAGAGAGAGGATAGAGAAGACGAGGAGAAAGAGAAATATATATATATATATATATATATATATATATAACGACAAAAGGAAGTTTTTTTTTCTTCATATTGTTCTTTTACAGATATATTTTTAGTTACATTTGAATTTTTAACATACACACACACACACACACACACATATATATATTAAATTCAAGATTATATATATAATGTGTGTGTGTATATATATATATATAAATATATATATATAAAGTGAACAGTGAAGTCAACACTCAGAGGTGACAGACTGTTTCATGCTAGACACAATCTTTCGGCCGACGAATGCGTCTAGCATGAAACAGCCTGCCGCCTCTGAGTGTTGACTTCAGTGTTCACTTTATATTTATATTTACATACGCTCTATCTGTGATATTGAGCACTTTATCCCATAAATATAGCACACCTTAAAACTATATTTATTCATATATATATATATATATATATATATATATATATATATATATATATATATATATATATATATGTTTTACATGTTTTACATCTTTTCTTTGTTTGTGTGTATATTTTCCGAATAAATAGCATTGGAAAATCCAAAAACCGAACCGAAAATATTAAAAAAAATCCACGAACATGGAACCCGTTGTTGCTTGTGTCTCATGTCATGATAATGAATATTCGTTACAATTTAATTCAACATTTTTTAGTAATAAAACACCGATAAAAATAAATAATTGAAATTTTTGGGTCACATAATGAGGATAGGTATTGTAGAATTTGACACAAAGAATCGTACGAACTCTTTCTTTCTATCTGCTATCGCTGATGTCTTAGGCTCTTCTTTATGTGACATACCTGATAAAGACTCTCTACAACTTCCTATCAATTTTAGCTCTGAGCAATATTTTTGCACTTACTATTCCTCCAGTGCCTGTTTTGTCATCCACTTATTCTCGAGCTTGTTAGGTAGCCTACTCAATGTTCTTCTCGACTCCTCTTGCCTTCATTATATCCTTTGAGTATTTAATTCTCCAGGTTCCCTTTCCTCATTATATATCCTAAAAATTTAAATTTTCTCTTTTTGATTCTAAGTTCAAATGTCTTTTTTTGTTTCCATTTTCATGCAAACTTGCTTGTTGCTCACATACTCTGTCCTTGGCATCCTCAGCATCCTACTTTAGAATCATATCTCTATTTGCCTCAACTATTTTTTTTATCTGTAAGGAAATTAATGACAATACTTAAGTATTGCTTCTTCAAATATGACATTCACATCCCCCACCCCAACCCAAAATTGCTCACTTTCAACTCTTCTCGATAAGATAAAATCATGAGTAAATCCTTTCTTTATTTATTGGTATTAGGAAGAAATCTCTATTTAATATAAATGATCTCGTCTCCATTCAAATAAAATCTGGTCCTCGTATTTTCAAGGACAGTGACCAGAGTTAACGGACGAGGATCAGTTAAAAATTGTAGAAGGAATAAATTTATCGATGATATTATTCTATTCTACGCCATTCCCTGAAGAAGGATGCCATAAAACAACAACAAAAATAAAATAAAAATAAAAAAAAACTTTTACTTTTTATTCACTTCGTCCGTAGGAGCAACGTGGTAAGTTGTAATGTGAACAACCAGAATCATCATATAACAATTATTCGGCAAAAAATTGTTAGAAAAAGCAATCCAGTTTTCTCTTCTCCATTGACTGATTTCTTTTTTTTTTTATCCCTTTTCACGCCTTCCACTTTTTGCATTTCGCCGTTCTTGCGCCATTATCGTGAGCCACCAATCGGCCAGACTTGTCGCGGCATTGAACATCTGTCCATTAAATGTTCCCTGGTGCGCAGTCGCCATCTTTGATTCCATTCGCACGATAATCAATTTCCATTAGGAAATAAAATGAACAGAAGAAGAAGAAGAAATAAGTGCCCGTGAGCTGTGCAATGGAAGGTAGAAGAAAGAAAAATAAAGAGCAAAGAATCTAACAATGACCATGAATAAGACATTTTGTAATCTTTTCGAAGAGGCAAAAATGTCCGAAACGCATTCTTTTATTTCCAGACCTTCACGGTAAACGTCGATTCATGGGGAATAGAAAATAAATAAATAACCAAAGACTTTGAAGATGCGGAGAGCCATGATTGCCTATCTAGTTTGGCTCTTAGCAGTTTTTGTCCCTTTGCTAAGGCCCCACTTCCTCCTGTTGCGCCATCAGTTTCCACAAGATCGTCAGCTAAATGGATCGCTGTTTTACCCTATCTCTTTTTCCTTCAATATGCTCCGTGGGGGTTAAATTTTCCAAGCCCACCTTCCTCATTATGTATCCGAGGAATTTTAGCTGCCTTTTCCTGAGTATAAGTGTTTCTTTCTGTTGCCATTTTCTTTAAGAGTTCCTTGTAGCTTACTCGGTCTGTCTGTATGGAATTCAATGGCGACTTCTGTAGAAGCACATTTATACTGCCTCTAAGTTCTTATGGTACTTCCTTGTGATTCAGCTTTTAAATGTTTGAAGATCAAAGTTGACAGAAAAGCGTTAAGCCGGAAGAGAATACAAAGTCATGATCATCCGCCCACTGAACGCAAAAACCTGAACAAGATAGGAAAGCATTAATCTGAGCGAAAGCTATGAAATAAGAGATGGCTGATCATATAGGGAGAAGAAAATGCTTTGATTGATTTTGTTTTTACGATCTTTCAACCTTTTGCTTGTTGTCTGAAGCCAAGAAATATTTTTAGATTGTAAGAAGTTTTTGGAAATCAATGATTTACTGATACAAATTTTGCTAATTAACCCATAGCCGAGTTAGAGGAGGTTGGTGCATACCTTTCCCAAAAATATTTGTGTATAAGTGAAGATAACGAACACGACTGGAATTGGAACTCGGCTCTCCAATTTTCAAGCCGTTATCCGTTACACCACCCGCACATCCAATCATAGAGACGTCATGGGTATGACGATAAACTACATCCGCGTCCTGGGTGTGGCGATAAACTACATCCGCGTCCTGGGTGTGGCGATAAACTACATCCGCGTCCTGGGTATGACGATAAACTACGTCCAATAGCAAAGCCTCTGATAATGTTTTTGAAAAAATGATGTTGCCAGCTTTGCGTTTTTGAAAAAATAATCTTGTCAGCTATACGTTTAATAGTACTATATATATATATATATATATATATATATATATATATATATATATATATATATATATATATATATATTAATTGATTTAAAATATGGTTTTTTCGCTACATAGTTCTAACCATGTTTCAAAAATGGAAGCTAAAAAAGCCCCGAATTTAATTTTGTAATTAAATTAAAGACATTAGTTCCATTTCATCCTCAAGCGAATTTTGGAGTAACTTTTAAAATTACTGGGTTTTAAAGACACAGCTAAAATCATAATTCATATTTATATATATATATATATATATATATATATAACTAGATTTGGCATTAAATGACCTACAGTGGTTGATATGGCATAAAACCCAACCAACCAATCTTAGAGCATCTGATATTTCCAAGCGGCACAGACCGGACCAGACGGGACCAGACGTTGCTTGACTTCGATGATCGTATGAGAACCGATATTTCAACGTAATATGGCCGTAAAGTCAGAAAAATACAATCTCCAACCCATTCGAAATGCAGTGAACGTAAGGATAAACAAAATGGAAGTAAAAAAATGAATGAAAGAATTGGCATATATGCTAGTCTCTGATAATTTATTCGGCAGGTTCTGCAGAAAAAGAAACCTTCGACGGGAACCTCTGAATGAAAAAGAAACGACTTGATTACTCCGAAATAGTACTTCGATTTATCTGGTCGTCATGAGTTCAGTCCTTGAATCAAACAGTGTAATACTCTAGTTCAGTGTAAAAAGTAAAAAAAAGCAACCTAACAAAGACTGGTTAACTTAGAAGAAAGATGAACGAATACAAGATGTATAGACAGTGGATCGAGAACAATCTCTTCTCGTCGATTGAATAAAGGATTCGAAATTGCTAAAGTTACTTAATATCGACATACACCAGAAGAAGGCCGAAGATAAAAACAGCCGAAATGTTGTGGTTATAACTTACAAGACGAAGATACCCGCAAATCAATGCATGAAACCACCTCTTCTCTCCCCAACTATGGGTCAATTAGTAGGATTTGTATCAGTAAATCATTATTATTTCAAAAACTTCTTATAATCTAAAAATATTTTCTGGCTTTAAATAACTTAGAAAAGGTTGATAAATCATAATAAACAAATAAAAGAAAGAAAAATCTTTAATTATCACATCTGAAATTTATATTTGGACAAAAGCAAACATTTTCTAGCAGTTTTTTGATTTCTTATGTATTTTTGGTTATTTTCATAATTCTTTGATTTTTTTTTATTTAAAGTTGGTTCTATGTGTCGCGCCATCATTCAAATCTATAAATCAACAAGCCTTCGCCCTTGCGTGGAATCCTGCTGCCATCTATGGTCTGATGCCCCCGCTGTTTGTCTCATGGTCTTCGACAAAATCCAGAGACGCATATGCAATGTGATTGGTCCTGATCTGGCATCTTGACTTCAGTCATTTTTTCACATCGCTTCCTTCTGTCTTTTCTACAAGTACTTTCATCGCATGTGCTCCGACGAGCTACATCCCAGGTTCCCAAGCTGCATGAATTTAAGCGTGCTACTAGGTTGTCATCTCAGTCCCACCCTTTTACAGTAGAAACTGTTAAATGTAGCCGTTTCTTCTACTCCAATAGCTTCATGCCTCGCACTTCCCGTGTGTGGAACTCCTTTCCTCTTACTTGCTTCCCTGATAACTATAATCTTCAAATATTCAAATGCAATGTCAATCGACATCTTCAAATGCCTTGATCTCATTCTCCGTCCTTCTCTTCACCTTTTCCTCTATCATACCTCTTTGCTCTTGCTCCCTCTTTTTGTAAGCCCCTTGCGTGCTAGTGGCACTCCACCTTGCTTGGGGTGAAATGCTTAAAAAAAAATTCTTTTTTCGTTTTTCGTATGGAAGTAAAGGTTTTGTTGGTATGAAAGTAGCGGTTTTGTTGTAATCGTCTGCTGTTCATTTTTATTTGTCATTCACTTTGTTAAATTCTGATCTTTTAACCACTATTATTCCTTTTGGGGATCGAGGAATTTTTTTTTTGAAGATATTTGTTATTGGGAGCAGTCGGGCAGCAATGGCACAACGGAAAAAAAGAAAGAAAGAAGCAATCCAAGTGGAACGCGAATAGAAGCCAAGAGTTATGAAAATGTCGGTAAATTTGATTTACATTTTTTTGCGAGGCAAGAGTTAAAAAGCGGTAGACGAGAGAAGGATTAAAAAAATATATATTGGGGAAATATTCGTAGGCCAAGTAAAAAAAAAAAAAAAAAAAAGAGAAAAAAGATTAAGAAGTGTTTCGGTAGATGATGTGAAAGAAAAAGAATTATTTGACGGAGAAGTTAAAAGAAAAGTTTCAGGGCAAAGATGAAACGGAAGCGAGTGAGGCAAAGAAAGAAACGCTAGCAGAAAATAGAGAACGAGGCCAGAGATGAGTACGATGGATAGCGAATTAGAGACGAGGTGAGGAAGTAAGAAAGAAGAGAAGAAATGGAGAAGAGAAAGAAGAGGAAAAAGGACAAACATTAGAAAAATGAACGAACTTAAAAAAAGAAATTGTAGAAGATGAATGGATTTCAAAAAACGGAAAGTTGATCGAAAATCAGGAGAAGGAAGAGAAAAGGGAAATGAGATCGTGGTGTAAGACGAGAAAAAGAGAAAAAAAGGGTGAATTTGAGAGAAAATTGAAGAAAACAAAGGGAAGAGGAAGAGAAAAAAAGAAGAGTAGGTAGCGTTGAAATAAAAGATGAGATGTGGAAGAATTAGAGGGGGAAGCAAAATCGTAAGAGAATAATGAAGGGGAGGAGAGGAGAATGTTAAATAAGATGGAATTATGAAGAAGAGAACGCAGAAAAGAATTAAGTAAACGAGAAAGAAGAAAAATAAAAGAAGCCGTTGGCGAAGGAGGAGCACAAAAAAGACGAAATACTGAATCAAGAAAACGAAAAATGGGGGAAAAAAAGGAAGGGGAAAGATGAAAAGGAAAAGAACAATAAAGTAGTGGAGGGGACATAAAAAGGACGAAATCAGGAAGAAGATAAAGTAGAAGGAAGAGGAAGAAATGTAAAAAGGGAAAAAGCGAAACGGGTGGAAATGTGCAGAAGTTAAGAGAGCAAAATGAGAGAAATAAGAAGAGAAAATGTGGGAAAAGAAGAGAGAGGAAATGAAAGAAAGAAAAAGAAACAGGTTGAGATTAAGAGAATGTGAATAAGGCCTATCAGTAAATAAGTAAAAGCTGAAGGATCTGAATTAAGAGTAAGTAAAGGTCAGTGGCGGGGGGTGGGGGAAGAAAGTGTGAGAGAAAGAGAATGAATAAGGAGAGAGAAGAGGAAAAGGCTGTTAAAAAGTAAGGGAAAAAGAAACGGAACAAGAGGAAAAGGCAAGAAAATAAGGAAAAAAGAAGAGAAAAGCGACCAGAAGAGAAAGAGGAAAAGCAATTGAAATAGGAAAATGAAAAAAATGGAAGAGGCAGAAGGGAAGAAGAAAGAGACGAAGGAGAAACAAAAGAGGAAAAGTAGAGGAAGTGGAGAGAAAGAGGTTTAAAATTAATAAGAGTCAAACACGCGTGAAAAAGAAAGAAGACGAGACAGGGAAATAGAAGAGAACAATGTTGTGTTGAAGGAGGAAGAAGAGCTTGAATTAAGGAGGGGTAAAAAGCAAGGAAAGAAATATGAGAAAAAAGAAACTACGACAAAAGAAACCATGGTTACATTAAGAAGAGTAAAAACGGACAAAGATTGAGAGGAAAACAAAGAGAAAAGGAAGAATAGGTGATGTTATTGCTGGAGAAGGAGTCCAAAAGAATTAGGTAGAGAATAATGTAATCGAAGAAGAAAAGGAATAAAGAAAAGAAGAAAACAAAAACTTCCGATAGAAAAAGGCAAATTCTTCTTTAAATACTTCTAGTTTAACAAGTAGAAAAAGAAAGCAAGATTTCTAACGTGAAAGCTAATGTTATACACTTTTATAGCCGTAGTGATAAGCAAAAGGGCAGCATGTAAACACAAAATGACAAAACCTTTCCTGCACACAATTCGCCATTTATTTGAATTAATCATTAACGAATACTGGACACCTGTCATTTACTTCTTTTTTTAAAAAAATTCGAGTTCATCCCATGCAAGGCAGTAAAACCACCAAGACACGAGGGGGGTATGGAAGAGTTAGAAAAAGAAACATGGCTAAGGATCAAGAACAAAAGAAGAGTAATCAGGATAACAGTAGATAGCGATTGACATTGCATTTAAATTTTTGAAGATTGAAGTTGACTGGAAAGCAAAGAGCCAGAAAAGAGTTCCACAAGTGAGAAGTGGGAGAAAAGTAACTGTTAGCATAGACTTTACGGTTACATCTAGCCACTTCATCTGTGAATTCATGAAACCTTAGCTTATCTTAGTTTGGCACAAGGTCATAATCATGCCAAAACAAAGTGAACTTCGTAAATAACAAGGAATCATAAAAGTTGGGTAACAGGTAAGAAGCTACTCTGGCTGTCAATTACAACTGAGTAGTGGGAGCAATTTTCTCAGAGTTACCTTTAATTATTGCTCAGCCACGCTTGATTTTTCCACTTTCCATCGTGTTACAACTTTCTTGACGACACTTCGCAGATATCTCTTCCGAGTAAGACCCCCCCCCATAGAGGAGAACATGACTAAAGACTGTGTGAACGCTATCCCGTGCAACTGCGGAAAGAAATATAAAGAGGAGACAGGCCGCCCCCCTTAAGGTAAGGCTTCAAGAACACCAGAAAGGTGTAACACGAGAGGAAGTGGAAAAATCAGGCGTGGCTGACCACATATGGAGAGAGAAGGGCGATCACCGCCCTCTGTGGGATCAGGTTGAGATCATAGACAAAGAACACTATTGGGAAATTCGTAAACTTAAGGAATCAGTACATATGCTAGGCCACAAAAATCTCCTGAGCCGTCCAAACATAGAAATGAATACAATATGGGAACCAGTAATAAGGAGTGCTAGAGAAAAGCAATAATAACAACAAAAGTTGCAATATGAGCTCTGGTAAAAACATGAAATGATAACAGCAAAAATTGCAATATGAGCACTGGTAAAAATGGTTGTTGAGATGTTTATAAGTCCTAGAAATTCATACCCAGATGTCCTCAAAGACACATGGGCACAGTGGATAAAGGCGTTGGTTAGATCCAGTGACAGGACCGAAAGAGTGTGAGTTCAATACCCGGTTAAGGCAGTGGATAACTTTCAGAGGGAAAATTAACAGGAGATAACTGACATTCATTAAAAATGGCACGTAGAACTAGAACAGTCTACCCCAGTGAGCGAAATGAAGGGTTCAGTTCGACATTCCGACCACCTGAAGAAGGCCGAAATGTTGTAATAAATATGGCGATAAAGATGAGGATAATAGTCTGAATAATGTATATTTGTGTGTATGTAAGATAACGATATATATTTTTATATATCAGGAACAATATTGGGGAAAAATCTATGACATTTTTCTTGTGATGCGTTTCGTCCTTTAGTACTTCATCAGAAAAAAAGTTGGTGTTAACTACACGTGCGCACGAGCCAGTGATACTGGTAATCTGGACGAGCATTGGAATAGCAAAAGTTATACTCCAAAAAGCTAAGCAAAGTATTAAGAAACAGGAAAATTTAATTGGAAACAAAGAAAAGAGTGTTGAACTGTGATGTAATATCAGTCCTCTTGTGATGGCAGCGAATGATGAACACTCTCCAGACAGACGAAGAGAAAACCGGGGCTACAGAAATGTGGTTTCTAGAAAAGGATGCTGAGAATACCAGAGACTCTGTATGCAACAAGGAAGTCTTAAGGAAACTGGAAACAAAAATAACAATTATACCCAGAATTAGATAGAAATAGCTGAAAGTTCTCGGGCATATAATAAGGATGGAGGACTTGGACAATTTAATACTCACAGGACATATCGAAGGCAAAATGGACAGAGAAGGCAGCGAGCCACCTCCCTAACGAGTTTGTGTGAATGGATGGTGAAAAAGTGGTGGGAGGCTTGACAAAGAGACAGACCTTAATGAAGGCAATGTGGTTGTGGAAAGCCGTGATCTAAGGGCTAAGGTGAGTCTTAGAATCGCCTTGGACATATAGCTCATACAAGAAGAGGGACTGTTTATAATACTCAGCTAGGCTTAGTGAATGAAAAAAAAAATAAACAAGCAATCATTGGTTTGCCAGGTGAATGCACAAACCTTCCCGCTACCACCACTGTGATCGAGAGAATGCTGAATTGTTAGGATCAAAGCTTCATAATAAGGCTACCCACCAGTTTTCAAGGAGAAGTCCTCGAAAAGAAATCGTGTTTGGAATCCAAATTTCCCCAAAGCACTGGATCTTTTTCACCACGTCCCTCCATGTTTCTGTTTGTTTAGATTTCGACTTCTTTCGTGGCCGCATGATCTCTTTATAGAAAGACAAATTTAAAAAAAAGAAATTTAAAAACAATCATCGTTTTCCTTTTGTTATTGTTATTCAGCATTTGGTAAAATCACGATTTTGATTTGATCAGCCAAAATATTTTAGGATCTTCTCTTTTCGATTTCCAGTTTTCATTTGGTCTTTTCTTTCATTTTTGTTCTTCCTTATTTCTTTCGTTTCTCCTTTTAAAATTCCTTTTTCCGTTCCATTTTTTTTCTCCCACCAAAACTATTTTTCTTTCTTTCCTTCTTTCTTTTGTCAAAATTTTTTTGCATTCCTTTTTCATTTGTGGGTTTTTTTTCTTTTCGTCTTTTTCTTTCCTTTGCGAAAATCCCCGTTTTTCCTTCTTTCTTTCTTTTATTGATTTATTTGATAATTCTTATCTTTTTTTTCTTCGCCTCAGGTTTCTTTTTTTTTATATGTTTTATTTTTTTATTCTTACCAAAAGTTGTTTTTCCTTTTTTTTTTTTTTTGCGATGGGGTATACTTCTTTCTCAAACTTTTTATTTGGTTTTTCCCTAAAATTTCTTTCTTTTTTCTGTAGCATTTTCATTCTTCTTTTTTTCTTTCTTTTACTAAAAAAATTAATTTCTTTTTTCTTTTACCGTAATTTTTATTTTTCGCTGTTTTTCTTTCCTTTTTTTCTTGCAAATGTCATGTATCCCTTGATGTCAATTTTTTTCCCTTACATTTTTCCTCTCGTCTGCTATTTTACTCTTTGTCTCTTTTTCACAATTTTTTCGTTTTTTTCATAAACTCACTCAGCTTCTTTTTCCTTTTCTCTACTTTCTCTCCCATTCTCATCTATTTGTCTCCTTCAATACGCTTTATTCTCTCTCTCTCTCTCTCTCTCTCTCTCTCTCTCTCATGACATGTGGGCTTGTATTTTTCTCTCTCCCCAGTCTTTAAATATTTCAAGCCATCCGCATATAGCAGCCATCTTTCTTTTACGCGAATTTTTCATTCGTTACTTTTGTTTTTTTTACCATGATCATTTTTTCATTCTTCCTCTTATTCACAAAATTCTTATCTTTTTTCCGTTTCTAAATCGTTTTTCATCATTCCTATCAGACTTTCTCTTTCTCCCTTTATCTCTAGCCTTTTCTTTCTTTTTCTTTGTAATTTTTTCTTAATTTCTCATTTTCTCTTTTGCCCTACCTTTCCTGTCTTTGCCGTAACCTCTCATTCTTTCTTTCATCCTTTGTATTTTCCCTCTTTCTTTCTCGTTATGTATTCAACTTGCACAAAACCAACTAGTAAATTTCGAATTGTCGAATGAGCAAAGCTCTTCATTGCTATTAACTCATATTCCTATCTTTCTGATGTCAGTTTAAACTGACGACTCCTTTTCCACCTATAATTGTGTTAGGGAAAATTTTTATTGAAATATGTTGGAAAAATTTCCGGTTTTCATATGAAATAAAAAAAACGTACAAAATTTAAGCAAAATGTTCACGATGTATAAGAAAAGACGGTGTCAGCTTAAATTGACATGAAAAGGAGATGGCTTAATGATATAAAAAAATGCAGGATTCGAAATTTTAGCTTTTTGCCTTGGCTTGGTGGTAAATTCGTAAATATTTCATCTAGGTATCTCTCTCTCTCTATCTATCTATCTATCTATCTATCTATCTATCTATCTATCTATATATATATATATATTAAATTTCTCGTGGAAAGTGGCCAACCACAACTAACAGTTTCGTGCGTTTTCACGCAAGCATCAGGCGGTCCGTAAGCGTTATGTTTTATCTATCTATCTATCTATCTATCTATCTATCTATATATATATATATATATATATATATATATATATATATATATATATATATATATATATATATATATATATATATGTATGTGTGCTTACGGCCACATCACGTTCAAACATCAGTTCCCGTACGATCACAGAAGTTAAGCAACGTCGAACCTGATCAGTATCTTTAGGTGTTGTAAGCTTGGATATGCAGGTGGTGTAATGAATAATGACTCGGAATTTTTAATCGGAGAGACGAGTTTCAATTCTCGTTTGGTTCCGGATTACACGAAGAGGAGACAGCTTCATGATATGAAAAAAAATACAGTATTTTAAATTTTAGATTTTTGCCTTGGCTTGGTGGCAAATTCGTAAATATTTCACCAAGGCGGCTCTATGTGTATATATATATATATATATATATATATATATATATATATATATATATGTAACAAACGTGAAAAGTTATGAATTCACTTTTGCTCCTCACTGCTGTGGGTTAATTAGTAACACTTGTATCACCAAAACCATTATTATTATTATCATTATCTAAAAATATGTTCTAGCTTTAAATCCCCTGCAAAGAGTTAATAAGCCATAGTAAAGGAATTAATCTCTCTCTCTCTCATATATATATATATATATATATATATATTTAACGTTCTTTTTTATAGATACAAGTATTTAAGTAAATGCTCTGTTTATAATAAACGGTATTAAATAACATTTACCGGCCTGAATGTCCGAGAAATTTTCATAAAAATATTAGTCCTTTAACAGGATTCGAACCTGCATCCTATACGGAACCGTCATTTACGCTGACGTGCCTGACTCGGCCACAAAGGATGCAGGTTCGAATCCTGTCA